CCTGAGCCCAGGAGGCTGAGGCTGCAGTGAGCTATGTATTGCACCACTGCACTCACAGAGGAGAACAGAACCAGACCCTGTCTCAAAATAATAAATAAATAAAATAAAACAACAAAAACCGCTGTGGTGGCTCACGCCTTGTCATCCAGCCACTTGGAGGTGGAGACAGGCGGATGACCTGAGGTCAGGATTCGAGACCAGCCTGGCCAACATGGCAAAAGCCCGTTCTACTAAAAATACAAAAAATGAGCCTGGTGTGGGTGGTGTTGCTGTAATCCCAGCTACTCAGGAGGGTGAGGTGAAAGATCGCTTTGAACCCGGCAGGGTGGGGGAGGCTGCAGTGAGCCGAGATCGAGCCAACTGCACTCCAGCCTGGGCTACAAGAGCAAGACCCTGTCTCAAAAAGAAAGAAAACACCCAGGCCGGGCGCGGTGGCTCACGCCGTGTCATCCCAGCACTTTGGGAGGCCAAGGCGGGTGGATCACGAGGGCAGGAGATCGAGACCATTCCTGGCTGCAACGCGGTAAACCCTGTTCTCTACTAAATACCAAAAAACAGCGGCCGAGTGGGCGGGGAGCCTGTAGTTCCCAGGCACGGCGGGGCTGAGGCAGTGAGAATGGCGTAACCGGGAGGCGGGAGCCTGGCAGTGAAGCTGGATTGGCGCACTTGCACTCCCAGCCTGGGTGACAGAGCGAGACCTCGTCTCAAAAACAAACAAACCAACAAACCGCTAGGGGAATGAAGGGAAAAACCTCTCAGGGAATGAAGGGAGTATGTACACTGACTGATGCCAGAACTCTCAGTTTGGGTCTGCAGTGTGGAGGTGACCCAGCGGACCCCTTCTTTCTAGGGCTCTGCAGTGTACAGATAGGAAAACCAAGCCAAGGTCCCCACCACACCCAGCACTGTCCCCAGCTGCCAGGAAAACACCTGAGGCCTGTGGAGAGGGGAGAAGGGAGCCTCTAGGGCTTCAGCCAGGAACAAGGGACAGGAGAGCAAACAGTGAGCTGGGGTCTCCTCCAGCTGAGGGGGACAGTCTAAAACCACGACCCTCAGCCTGTACCAACAGCGGAGAGAGGGAGCCCTGAGAAGCTTCCAGTCCAAGCCCTGCCTTCAACATCATTCACTCATTCATTCGTTCATTAGCTACAGACGACCTTCTGTGTACAGGCCCTGGCAAGATACTGAAGACCCAAGCACCTGCTCGGTTCCTGTCCCTGGGAACGTGTAGGGCGAGGGGCTGCCACAGAGCGCAGATTCGCCCAGGGTGGGGTGAGAAAGGAGGGTACATGTTGGGGTCTCAGCAGGAGCAGGGCCTGAGGTCCCCTAGAGTGCCTTTGCTGGCCAGCTGGAGGGAGACGCCTGTGCTCTTGGATCTCCACTTTGCCTGTCTCCCAAACAGGGCTGCCTCCCCCCACCCCCAGCCCTCCAGCTTTGGAAGCTGAAATTTTCTTTGCTGACCCACCAGAGAAACTAGGGTTTGAATCCCAGCCTGTGATTTTTTTGTTTTGGAGACAGGGTCTCGCTCTGTTGCCTAGACTGGAGTGCGGTGGCGAGATCATAGCTCACTGCAGCCTCGGCCTCCCCATCTATGACCTGGGAGCTGCAGGACCTTCCCTGGGGAACATTATGGGCCTCAGTGAGATGGGGCAGGTCAAGTCTGGCACAGGCTCAGCACACAGTAGGCACTCAATAAAGATCTAGCCAATGGCTGGGTGCAGAGGCTCACGCCTGTAATCCCAGCACTTCGGGAGGCCAAGGCGGGCGGATCACCTGAGGTCAGGAGTTTGAGACCAGCCTGACCAACATGGCGAAATCCCTTCTCTACTGAAAATACAAAAATCAGCTGGGGGACAGGCGCGGTGGCTCACGCCTGTAATCCCAGCACTTTGGGAGGCCGAGACGGACAGATCACCTGAGGTCAGGAGTTCCAGACCAGCCTGGCCAACATGGCGAAACCTCGTCTCTACTGAAAATACAAAAACCAGCTGGGCATGGTGGCGCGTGCCTGTAATCCCAGCTACTAGTGGGGCTGAGGCAGGAGGATGGCTTCAACCTGGAAGGCGGAGGTTGCAGTGAACTGGGATCACACCACTGCACTCCAGGCTGGGCAACATAGCGAGGCTCCATCTCAAAAAAAAAAAAAAAAAAAAAGATCTAGCAAACAAATGAATTGGAGCCTCCAGCAGATGGGTGGGAACTCAGAAGGTGTGAATGACCACGGTCTGCCCAGAAAGCACTCAGATCCCTCTAGGATCGAGAGAACTGAGCCTCAGAGAACAGCACATGGCTACCGGGCAGAGGGCTGATGCCAGGCCTGTGTGACTCTGGTCTAGGTGGGGAGGCCGGACAGGTGCGCCCCTCCTGTCCTCCAGGGAAGGGGTAGCCTTGGAGGTTGGGTTTGACAGAAAAGCATGAGAAGCTCAGAGAGCCCCAGGGTGGAGAAGAAGGTGAGCGAAGGGGCAGGGCTGGGGCACAAAGGACATTGAAAGGTGTGCTTGACAACGGGGTGGGTGGGAGAAGCTGGGAGCCACAGATGGTTCTACAGTGTGGAAATGTAAGGCCTGTGCCAACCTGGCATGGCAGTCACAGTCACATCCCTGGCAACCTGCACTCCACTTACAGGGTGGCTGCTGTGTGTGACCTGGAGCTGGAATTAAAACCAGCAACTTGGGTCCAGGCATGGTAGCTCACACCTGTAGCAGCCCCAGCACTCTGGGTAACTGAGGTAGGAGGATCGCTTGAAGTCAGGAGTTCAAGACCAGCCTGGCCAACAGAACGAGACTCTGTCTCCACAAGAAATTTTTAAAAATAAAAACTAATAAATAAATAAGCCGGGGAGCGGTGGCTCAGGCCTGTAATCCCAGCACTTTCGGAGGCAGAGGCTGGCGGATCACTTGAGGTCAGGAGTTCGAGACCCCGTCTCTACTAAAAATACAAAAATCAGCTGGGCGTGGTGGCAGTCACCTGTAATCCCAGCTACTCAGGAGGCTGAGGCAGGAGAATAGCTTGAAACCAGAAGGCGGAGTTTGCAGTGAGCCCAGATCGCGTCACTGCACTCCAGCCTGGGAGAAAGAGCAAAACTCCGTCTCATAAATAAATAAATAAAACCAGCATCTTGCCCCAGAATCCTCTATCCCAATGGAGGTGAGACGTCTGCACATCACAGAGAGGGGGCTGTCACCTGCACAGGGTCACGGGCCACTGCGGCCTGCCGGGCAAGCAATCAGGGCCCACTCTCCCGCCACCCCCACTGTGCCCCAGGGCCTGCCTTGCTGACCGCCACCAGCAAGAGCCCAGTAAGTGGGTGCAGAACGCACAGGCCAGAAGTGGGTGGCTAAGCCTGGTGCCCATGGACTCCATCTCCCGTGGACCTGCCCCTAGAGAATTCCCACCCTGAGGCCACAGGTCTAGAAGCTCTCAGCCTGACCCTGACTCCTGTCAGCTCCCCACGTGGTCACAGCCTCGCTCAAAGGCCCTTCGGGTGCCAGGACACGCGAGTTCACATAGAACACAGCCACACCCTCCACCAACCACCTGGTGGCTCAGCCTGGTGCCTTTGGACACTTGGTCCCTGGGCCTCGGCTTGGACGTCTGCCCCGGACACTCTGCACAGGGCAGCTGTCCTGTTCTAAGCCCTGGTTATGGGACATGGAGGCAGGTGGAAGGCCTCAATGGGGAGGCCGTAACAGGATGGTAGGGCACCCTCCTGCTGGGGAGTCCCACTGAGGGCAGCCAGAGCACCCAGTCCCTCCGCATCCGCCATTCCAGAGCATGCCTCCTGGGCCAGCACCACGCCTGACCCTCCATGGGTCCCCACATGAGCTGGACAAATGACTGACCAAAACACAGGAGGCCATGCTGCCCCACCCACCAGGACAGAGGGAAGGGGCGGAGGGGAGGGCACCCTGGTGGTCCCCCGCCTGCGGCCAGGGCCATAGATGACCTTGCAATCCCAGCCCCCCACACCTTTCTCTGGCCTGGGTTCCTGAGGGCCCTGGGGGAGGCAGGGACCCCCAGCCCAAGTGTCCTGCCGCCCCACCTAGCCCCGCCAAAGCCCCACCCCAAGTTCTAGAACCTGGCTGATCACTGGCGGTCAGCGGGGAGCCAGGAGCGGGTAGGGGTGGCGGGAAGGCAGGAGAAAGTTGAGGGAGACGGGCGGGCGGGTGGCTAATGGGGTGGTGGGTGTGAGCTGGGCCAGGCACTGCCCACCACCCGCCCGCCCGCCCCGCAGCTCGGGGGCCAATGAGCAGCGGCCGGCCTGATGTCACCCTGCAAATCTCAGCCTAGCTCTCTAACAAAGAGAACAATGGGGCGGCCAGAGGGAAGCTCCGACGATGCCACCGTTGGACCCCACACCCGGGGCCTGCCGCCCGCCGGCCTGCCCAGCAGGCTGCACCCCAGAAGTGGCTTTGACAGCCGGTCCTTCCCAGGCCCCCAAATCCCTGACTCGGGGCCGGAGAGTGGAGCAGGGACCCTCTCCTGCCAGGTCCCGTCCCCACCCCAGTCAGGGCCCCAGGCTGGGGACCCAGACGTGCGCTCTTTGTACTGTCAGCCTTCTCTCCCGGCCCTGCAGGCGGCCCCCCTAAGCCACCCCTAAACCTGCGCTTGCCCCGCCCCGCCGCCTGTGCTGGGTGTGGGGTGCCCCCCGCCCGACCGGAGCCCCGGGCCCTCGCGCTCCTCTCCGGGGTGCCCCTGCGGGTGGCCAAGGGCCTGGGCTGCGGCGCGGCTCCCGGGAGCCTTTCCGGGCTGGAGGCGGCCCAGACAAAGGCGGCGGCGGGGCCGGAGCGCGCAGGGGAGGAGCGCGGGCTGCGCCCAACTTTCTCCCGCGGCCGCTGCAGGACAAAGGCGCAAAGGCAGTGGCCGAGGCCGGAGCCCACACGGGGCGTGTCCGGTGCCGGGCGTCCGGCGCGGGCTGGGCTGGGCTCGGGAGACCCCCTTCCCCGGGGCGGGCGGTGCGGGGACCCCCAGGACAGCAACCCCCGACGAGGGCCACTCACCCTGGCGGCCCACGATCTCGGCGACGTGCTCGGAGCTGGGCACCGGGACGCACTCGGTCATGTTGACGCTCTTCTTGCGGCTGCCGATCACGCTCATCTGCTCGGCCAGCAGCGTCGGGGGGCCCAGGGCCGCGGGGTGGGGCGCGAAGCCCGCGAACACGTCGGGGGGTGACGGCCGGGGCGGCGGGGGGCTCGCGTTGGGGTCCAGCAGCGGCAGCGACCCGGGGGCCACGGCCACGGCGGGGGCCAGGGTCGCGGGCGCGCCGGCCTCGGGCCCGTCGGGGGTCACAGGCTCCGGAGCCGACCCGCCGTCCGCGCCCCCCGCCGCCGCTGCGCCGTCCCCGGCCGCCCCCTCCTCGTCCGTGTCGCCCGCGGCCCCCAGCCCGAGCGCCGACAGCTGGTCCAGCGCCAGGCGGAGCGCGGCGGCCGCGTCGTCGGGTTCGGGCGGCGGCCGAGGAGCGGGCGCGGCCTCCTGGGCGCCCTCGGGCGGGGGCGCAGGTCCGGGTCCGGGGTCCTCCCCCGCCGCCCCGCGCCGCCGCGGCCGCCGCCCGCCCGCCGCGTCGCCTGCCGAGCGAGCTGGGCATGGCGGCGCTAGCGCTGGGCCCGCGCTCTGCCGCCCGCAGCCGCCGCCGCCCGCCCGCCCTCCGCCTCTGCGAGCTGGGCCGCGGCCGCTGCATCCATCGGCGGGGCGCGGCCGGCGGGGCGGCGGCGGCGGCTGCTCCCGTGCGGCCGGCGCGGGCAGCGGACTTCTGGCTGCGCTCGGCGGCGCGGGCGGCGGCGGCTCCTCGGCGCGAGGCGCGGCGGCGGCGGACGGCGGCCGCGGCGTCCTTCCTCCGGCCGCTCCGCGCCCGCCGGCCCGCCCGCGAGCGTCCACGTCGCTGCCCCCAACACTGGCGGTCCCCAGCGCAGGCGCCGCGGCGGGGCGGCGGCGGGCCGGCGGCAGGCGCCGGGCACGTGGTCCAGGTCCCGCCCCCGCTCGGCGCTCGGGCGGGAACTCGGGCGCATCCGCACGTGCGGGCGCGGCTGCAGGTGTGTGCGGCCCAGCCCCGGCCTGGACAGCGCTCACGTCCCGAGCCTGAGAGTCCCCGCCTCGCGCGCCCCAGGGCCCGAGGTCCCGCTCCCCAATTCCCCCTAGAGATCCGGGTCGCCCCAAAGCCAGGTCCCTTGCTCCACGCCCGTTTCCTCGTGCCGGGGACCCCCCACCTCACTGCACAAAGGCGTGGGGTCCCCTCCAAGTACCCCTTGCGATCCAACTGGACTTCGAAGTCAGGCTCCTGCCCCGCCCATCGCCTCTGTGCAGGGGTCCTCCCCATGCCCCACGGTGCACACCCCAGGGCCTGGTGTGCCAGTCCCCAAGTACCCCTTGCTATCAGGGTGGGCTTTAGGGTCGGGTCCCTGCCCCACCCCCGGCCCCTGCGCCGGGGACAGCTCCACAATCATGCACACCCTAAGGTCTGGGGTCCCTCTCCCCTAGCTCCCCTAGTCTCCCCTAGTCTCCCCTAGTCTGCCCTAGTCTCCCCTAGCTCCCCTAGTCTCCCCTAATCTCCCCTAGCTCCCCTAATATCCCCTAGTCTCCCCTAGTCTCCCCTAGTCTCCCCTAATTTCCCCTAGCTCCCCTAATATCCCCTAGCTCCCCTAGTCTCCCCTAGCTCCCCTAATATCCCCCTAGTCTCCCCTAGCTCCCCTAGTCTCCCCTAGTCTCCCCTAGCTCCCCTCTGGCTGGCTCTAGGCTTTGGGTTCAGGCCACCTCCTCCGCCCCGCCTGAGACCACATACCTCGTCTCTGTGCCCCCAGCCAGAGACCTCTCTACCGCATTGGTGCTTCCCTGGCGAGGACAGGTTCACACCAGCCAGAAGCCTCCATGTGGAGTCCCACCCTCTTCTGGGGTGCCTTTCCCCACAACGGGCGTTGTCCCCCTCCAAAGCCATCCTTGCCAGGCGCGGTGGCTCACGCCTATCATCCCAGCACTTTGGGAGGCCGAGGCGGGCGGATCAAGAGATCAGCAGTTCGAGACCAGCCTGGCCAACATGGTGAACCACCCGACTCTACTAAAAATACAAAAGTTAGCCAGGCGTGGTGGCGCGCACCTCTAATCCCAGCACTCGGGAGGCTGAGGCGAGATAACTGCTTGAACCTGGAAGGCGGTGGGTGCAGTGAGCAAGACTCCTCTTAAAAAAAAAAAAAAAAAAAAAAGCCACTCTTTCCCAGCAGCTCTTCCTCCAGCTGCCCTTTGGGGCCTTCCCTGCGCCTGTGGGATTTTTTGTGATAAACCTGCCTGGCTGGGTCTACCTGCCCCCATCTTCTACCAGACCTGTCCCTGGCTGGCTGTGAAAACTTGGACCGAAGGCGGGGCTCTCCAGGAGTGGGGCAGCCTGCTCCTTTGCCTAGTAAGGCTTCTCCTCTGTCCCCTCCCCCAGCCTCACACACCCTGGGTCCCTCTCAGCCATTCATCTAGTTCTTCAGCCACAGCCACCCACTACTGGGCCCTTCACTTAGGTGGCTTCTCTGCCCACTTCTTCCAGGCAGGCCGGGTCAGGATCCCCCTGCCTGGAGCCCTTCCCCACTCAAAATCTCTCTCCTGACCCCAGGCGGCGTCCAGCCCCACTTCCCCTCCTGGGGTCCTGGACTTTTGTGCACTCCCATGCTTGGAACTATTTTCCCATCTCTCTTCTCTTTCTTTTCTTTCTCTCTTTTCTTTTCTTTTTTTCTTTTCTTTCTTTTTCTTTCTCCTTCCTTCCTTTTTTATTTATTTATTTCTTTTTTTTTTTTTTTTGTTTTTTTTGCTTTTTGAGGACGGAGTCTGGCTCCTGTGCCAGGCTGGAGTGCAGGTGGGCGCTGGATCTCAGCGTCATGCCAAGCGTCGCCTCCGGGGTCTCACGTCCGATTCTCCTGCCTCAGACCTCCTGAGTGAGGCTGGGATTACAGGCGGTGCCCGCCACCACGCCGCTACGTTGTTTTTTCGTGATTCTATTTTTAGTAAGAGACGCGGGGTTTCACCATGTTAGCAGGACTAGTCGTGCGGTCTCCTGGACCTCGTGATCACCCGCCTCGGCCTCCCAAGGAGTGCTTGGTTGATTACAGGCGTTGAGCCAGCCACGCCCGGCGCCTTCTTTTTTTTTTTTTGAAAACGGGAGTGTCTCGCTCGTCGCCCGGCTGGCAGTGCTCAGGTGGCGCCATCCCAGAGGCTGGACTACAGACTCTGCTTCCCAGTTCAATGCAAATTCTCCCCACCTCAGGGCCTGCCTGAGTTACCTGGATTACAGGCACCCGCACCGATGGCCGGCTAATGTTTTTGTATTTTCAGTAGAGACAGGTGTTTGGCATGTTGGTCCAGGCTGTCCGTGCGAACTCCTGGTTGACCTCGAAGGGTGTCCACCGTGCCTCAGCTGCCCCAAAGGTGCTAGGATTACAGGCGTCGAACCACCACGCCTGGACGCTGTTGTTATTTCTGTTTCTCTTCTTGTGTCTGTCCTTCTGTTCCCTTCCTTCCTTCCTTCTTTCCGTTTTGCTTCTCATCTCTGTCTCGTTGTCTTTATTTCTTCCCTTTCTCCTTTCTTCCCTTCGCGCCGTTTCTGGTCTCCCCCTTCCCCTTCCTTCCTTCCTTCTGTTTTCTTTGCTTTGTTCTTTTTTGCAGACATGTGTTAACGTTGTGTTGTTTCTGTCCCAGGCTTGTGTGTGTGTGATCGCCATATTGGGTGTCCTAGTCGCAATGTTGTCTTGTTTTCAACCAGCTTCCTGTGCCTCAGCCTCCCGACGTAGCTGCGGATACTACGCAGGGCGCTGCCCAAACGCCGCCCCGGGCTGGCGCAGTTTGTTGTATTTTTCAGTAGAGACAGGGTTTCATCATGTTAGCCAGGATGGTCTCCGATCGCCTGTTCATGATCTCCCCTATGCCTCCCAAAGTCTTGGATTCAGACAGGCAGGACTGCTGCGCCCCATTTTTTGTATTTTGTTAGTAGGATGGTTTATCACTATGTAGCCAGGAGTCTACCGTTCTGGCGGCTTTCTCTTTTTCTTTTTCTCTTTCTTTTCTTTTTCTTTTTTGTTTTTTTTTTTTTTTTTTTTTTTTTTTTTTTGAGACGGAGTTCGCTGTGGTCACACCAAGGCTGGGAGTGCCAGTGGCCGGGATCTCAGCTGCGACTGCAGCTGCGCCTCCTCGGTGTCTGTTTGGAGCCTCCCGCGTAGCTGGAACTAATATAGGGCCCTCGCCTACCACGCTCTGGTCAATGTTTTGAGTAGGAGACCGGTTGGTGACTGGAGTCTCAGGATTGTCTCGATCTCCTGACCTTATGATCCGCCCGTCTCGGCCTCCCAAAGTGCTGGGAATACAGGCTTGAGCCACGGTGCCTGGCAATTTTTGTATTTTTAGTACAGATGAGGTTTCACCATGTTGGCCAGGCTGGTGTTGAACTCCTGACCTCAGGTGATCCACCTGCCTTGGCCTCCCAAAGTATTGGGATTACAGGCGTGAGCCACCACGCCCGGCCACATTTGTATTTTTTAGTAGAGACGGGGTTTCACCGTGTTAGCCAAGATTCTCCCTCCCTTCCCCTCCCCTCCCCTTCCATTCCGTCTTTTCTTTCTTTTTCAGATGGAATCTTGCTCTGTTGCCCAGGCTGGAGTGCAGTGATGTAATCTTGGTTCACTGCAACCTCCACCTCCTAGGTTCAAGTGATTCTCTTGCCTCAGCCTCCCGAGTAGCTGGGATTACAGGCGCGTGCCACCACACCTGAATAATTTTTATCTTTTTAGTACAGACAGGGTTTCACCATGTTGGCCAGGCTGGTGTTGAACTCCTGACCTCAGGTGATCCACCTGCCTTGGCCTCCCAAAGTACCGGGATTACAGGTGTGAGCCACTGTGCTCTGCCTCAATATTTATTTGTTTGTTTGTTTATTTTACAGACAGGGTTTCTCTGTGTTGCCCAGGCTGGGGTGCAGTGGCTGTTCACAGGTGTGACCCCAGGACAGATCAGCACAAGAGCTTTGACCAACTCTGTTTCTGACTTGGCCGGGTTCAGTCCTCCTTAGGCAACTGGGTGGTCCTCCCAGTCCACAGAGGTTATCATATTACTGTGGACACCGGATCAGCATACCTCACTACAGCCCAGAACTCCCGAGCTCAAGCAATCCTCCCGCCTCAGCCTCCCGAGTAGTTGTGACCACAGGTGTGCACCACCACATGCAGCTACCTTTTGTATTTATAGAGATGGGGTATTTTTTGTTGCCCAGTGGTCTTGAACTCCTAGCCTCAAGCAATCCTCCTGCCTCAGCCTCCCAAACTGCTGGGACTACAGGTGTGCAACACTATGCCCAGCCAGTTGTGATTATTAGTGGCATTGTAGGCTGGGCGCGGTGGCTCATGCCTGTAATCCCAGCACTTTGGGAGGCCGAGGCAGGTGGATCACTTGAGGTCAGGAGTTCTACATCAGCCTGGCCAACACAGCGAAACTCCGTCTTTACTGAAAATAGGAAAATGAGCCGGGTGTGGTGGCGTGAGCCTGTAATGCCAGCTGCTTGGGAGGCTGAGGCAGGAGAATTACTTGAACCTGGGAGGTGGAGGTTGCAGCGAGCCGAGATCACACCACTGTACTCCAGCCTGGGCAAAAGAGCAAGACTCCGTCTCAAAAAACAAACGCACGAACAAACAAACTCGTGTGTCTAATAAACAAATGAATTCATGAATGAATGAAACAACGAATACTTAATTCTTTCCCAGTTCTGGAGCCTCAGAGTCAAAACTCAAGAGAAGTGTGGGCAGGGCCACGCCCCCTTCAAAGGCTCTGGGGAGGGTCCTTTCTAGCTCTTCCATCTTCCGGGGGCTCTGGGCCCCATCGCTCATTGTGGCCACATCGCTCTGACCTCGGCCTCCGTCTTCACACGCCCATGTCTCTCTATTTGTTTGTGTCCTGGTTTCCCTCTTCTCGTGGGAACAGGAGTCACAGGATGAAGGCCCACCTCACTCCCGTACCATTTCGGCTTAACTTGATCACGTGTGCAGAGACC